CTGAAACTTCTCTTGTTTTGTGGTCCTTCCTCCCACCCCCAACCTGTTACGGTTCTTGTGTTCCATCAATGGCTTCCATCCCCTAGCACTCCTACACTAGAATTGTAGAATTGCCCAATGGGGTTTCCAATGCTGCGCATCATTTTTAAAGTGGACTTCCACCATTTTTCCCTCTGGAGCAGCTGCTTGACCAACTGCCGTCTTTCCAGTTAGCCAATGAACGCTTAACTACTATACTTATGGGACTACTTTAAAAAAATTTTAACCTACTTATTCAATGTAGTCAGAGGGTGGGTGTTGCAGGTAGCATGCTCAGTTAACTACTGGAGGTTTGAGATTATCCAAAAGTGTTTTCAAAGAAAGGGATGGTGATGTAATTTTAAAAATCCATCACTGAAAGCCCCGTGGAACACAGTTCTACTGACACACACGGGGTTACTGTTATGCGAGTTTATTGACTTTTCAAATGATCCGTTTGATTCATTACTGATTAGAAACCTCTCTCAGTCGTATTTTAGCTGAGAGAAGGAAAAACCCGTTACATTGAAGGAGGACAACTATCCAGGTAGATTCCCATAGCGATTGTTTTGGGAGTAGATGGGGTAGGAGAAGGGTGAACATCCTAGGAAAACTTTGGAAGGTGTACATTTCCATGTATATATAGACACATGGACATTTTTCATCAACTTGTTTGCAGGCGGATCTGGCCAAGTACACATGTGAAAATCAAGAAACCATCTCCAGCAAGCTAAAGGAATGCTGTGAGAAGCCTGTGCTTGAGAAATCCCATTGCATTGCCGAGGTAGAAAATGATGATATTCCTGATGACCTCACCCCATTGGCCGCTGATTTTGTTGAGGACAAGGAGGTGTGCAAAAACTATGAGGAGGCCCGGGATATCTTCATGGGCACGTAAGTGGACAAGGGATGATCTTGGAAGAGAAGGCTCTGTGGAGGTGCTCCCATTTTCCTGCTATCCAGATGCTCCCTTAGCCTGTTCCTAAGCCAGGCTTTAAAAGTTATATTTCAATAATACCATCGTTTTGAACATTATCATAAAATAGCATATGCTCACAACAAAAACCAATACAGAAGAGTGTAAAAAAGTCATTGAAAGTTCTCCCATTTATTTCTGCTGCTGCCCACTCTTTGCTCCTTAGGGATTTTTCTGGAACTATCTTTCCAGAAACATTTTGTTGATATGTACATATGTTTGTTATTCATTGATTTCACAAGTCATTCAAAGGGCATTTCCTGAGTACCTACAAGGCACACATGTGTGTACATGCATATATGGACATATATGTACTGACAGGTAACAAAGAAGTATAAAACAACAAAAATAAAAGACCTGGAAGCTGCCATCAGGTATTTTAAATTCAAATGAACCTTAAGTGACAGGGAAAGGCTATGCACTTCAAGGACAAAATGAAAGTTTATCACATAGGGGATAAGGATAGAAAATTTGATTTTCTGCTTTTACATTATGGTATTATCCTTTGTATTAAATAATATTTCTTAAAATGATACACTGTAAAATTTCAGAGAGAAAAATGAAGACCCTTTTCTCTCTGCCTTTGTCTTCCAAACATAAATACCCAGAATTCAATGAGTGGATAAGGGTACACATACTTAATTCAGACCCTTTGTGAGATATAGTCAAATAAAACAAAGTATTCATAATAAGAGTAGACATAATCTATCAAACATTTACTATAGTCCAGTGTGTTTTGCGCAGATTATATCATTTAATTCTTACAATAATCTTCTTTATGAAATAAAAAAAAAACCAAGCAAAATAACCCATTGCCATTGATTTAACTCCAATTAATAGCCACCTGTAAAGGATTTCTAAGCTTTGAAAACAGTTACAGGCACAGGTATCCACATCTTTCTCCCCTGCACCTACTCATGGGTTTGAACCACTGACCTTCAGTTGGCAGTCTAATGCTTCCTGACAGAGATAGATAATATTATTGTTCTCCCTCTACAGAAGAGAAAATTAAGATTCCATGAGGTTTAACAAGTTGCCTAAAGTGACATAGCAAAAATAATAGAGAGAACCAAAATGTGAGCTCAGACAGTTTTAATTTGGAATCTCTAGCCCTTTAGCCACCCTTCTTTAGTGCCTAGGGATTTAGTTAAATGTAGGCCTTTGGATTAAGAAGTAATCTCTAAGTTTGTTTTGGATTTACCTTGCTCATTTTGTCTACCTCACTCTTTTCTATTTTTATCGTACTCAGGTTTCTGCACGAATACGCAAGAAGGCATCATGATTATTCTGTCTCGTTGCTATTGAGACTTGCCAAGCTCTATGAAGCCAAACTGGAGAAGTGCTGTCCCACCGCCGATCCTCACATGTGCTATGGCAAAGTGGTAGGTGGCTTGCATGAAAAACAAAATGTGGCTCTTGGGCTAATGATTCCACTAATGACCAAGGAAGACAGTGCAATGCTGCAAAGTGAAATTTCATAAAACATAGTTCTTTTCCTGAGATGGTTTTCAATGCTGTGCTCTTAAACTTTATTCAAAACAAAACCTTAAGAAAAACGATGAATAAAACCCAGAAAAGAAAGCTCCGAAGATAGCAATCTCCCAAACTACAAACTCTTGAGCATGATTTTTGTCTTGTTTTCAGATCCCCAAGATCAGATGAACACAAAGTAAATTTAAATGTTCATTAAAATAGATTGAACTCAGATACCAAGAAGATAATTTTGATTCCAAAACTTACTAAAGCACTAGAATTAGTATCTTAAAGGAAAGTTGGAGAAACTCTGCCTTTCTTATTGAGAAACTTTAGGAATGGGTTTTTGAGAATTTACAGGAGAGCAAAGCAGTTGTGGAGGATGATCAGGTCTCCTACAAGCTTATCCAAGGAGTTGTCAGTGATTGGTGGTCAGCAGTTTCAACCCAGCAGCTACTCCGTGGGAGAAGATAAGGGTGTCTGCTCCCATGATGATTTGAGGACTCGGAAACCCAAAGGAGCAGTTCTGCTCTGGCCGAGAGGGTCCCATGGTGGTGTGTTGTTTTAGACAAGCATACTGATTTCCGTACCATGCTGATTAAGAGGAAAATAATTCTTTCCTCTACTGAGATCT